AGATTCACTGCAATCCCTATTAAAGCACCACTGTCACACTTTAAACAACTTGAAAAAATAGTACTTCATTTTATATGGAATCAGAAAAAACCTCAAATAGCAAATACATTACTCAGAAATAAGAACACATTAGGAGGTATCACATTACCAGACTTCAGGCTATACTATAAATACAGTGAGCAAAACAGCATTGTACTGGCACAAAAACAGAGAGGTAGATTTACGGAACAGAATAGAGAACCAAGAGATGAACCCAGCCACTTATTATCATTTGATCTTCAACAAGCCTATCAAAAATATTCACTGGGGGAAAGATCCCCTATTTAACAAATGGTGCTGGGTGAACTAGCTGGCTACCTATACAAGACTGAAACTGGACCCCTCCCTACCTTTCACCGTTAACAAAAATTGATTCTCACTAGATAAAAGATTTAAACTTAAGACATGAAACTGTAACAATATTAGAAGACAGTGCAGGGAAAACACCTGAACAAATTGGCCTGTGAGAGTATTTTATGAGGAGAATCCGCCCACAGGCAATTGAAGCAACACCAAAAAAATACATTACTAGGATCTGATCAAGCTAAAAGCTTTTGCACAGCTAAGAGCACAGTAAGTAAAACATACAGATAACCTTCAAAATGGGATAAGATTTTTGCAGGTTATGCTTCCGGCAAAGGTCTGATAACTAGAATCTACAGAGAACTCAACCTAATCAATAAGAAAAGAATAAATAACCCCATTTCTATGTGGGCAAGAGACTTGAACAGAAACTTCTCTGAGGACCACAGGCATGTGGCCTACAAACATATGAAAAAATGCTCATTATCCTTAATCATCAGAGAAATGCAAATCAAATTATCTAACTCCAAAATCCCAAAACTACAGATTTTGGCGTGGATTCAGAGAGAAGGGCACACTTTTACACTGCTAGTGCTAATCCAAGCTAATACAACCTTTTGGAAAGTTTGGAGAACACTCAAGGAACTAAAAGTAGACCTACCGTTCAACCCTGCAATTCCTCTACTAGATAAATACCCAGATAACCAAAAATTATTTTACAACAAAGGCATTTGCACCAGAATGTTTATTGCAGCCCAATTCGTAATAGTCAAGACATGGAAACAGCCCAAGTGCCCATCTACCCATGAATGGATTAATAAAGTGTGGTATATGTACAGCATGGAATACTATGTAGTCATAAAAAGGATGGAGATTTCACATCTTTTATGTTTACCTGGATGAAGGTGAAATATATTCCTCTTAGTAAAGTATCTCAAGAATGGGGGGTGGGGGGAGAGTATCCAATGTACTCAATACTACTATGAAATCAATATACAATCACCTACACATTCATATGATTGGCAAAACCTAACTAACTATAGTCCAGAAAGTAGAAGGGAAGGGGGGGGGATTTGGGAGGAGGGCGGGTTTTGGGGGGGGACCCCATCTAAGGTGCATGATGCAATGGCACATTTCAAAACTATTAAGAAACAAGTATAATTGCAATGGACATATTACTTAGTTCAATGTAAGCATTTCACATTGTGTATCAAAGCAGTACACTAAACCCCATAAATGCATCAATGTACACAGTTATGATTTAATAGTAATGAAAATGAATATAAAACCAAAATCATGATTAAATTAAAAACTAAGACAAATAAATATAGGTTTTGGATATGTAACAAAAACATTTTAGTACTGGCTCGGCGCCTATAGCTCAACCGGCTAAGGCGCCAGCC